CCTGGAATACCGCAGGATGCTCATGACAATCATCTTTGCACCTTCTTACCAGTGGCAAAGCTCAGGCTGAGCTCTCAGGGGCTGTGGCTGAGGAGATCCTTTAATGGCCCATCCATCAGGAGCTGGAGAGTTCTGGTCTGTGTTACTGTCACCACCTGCTCGTTAGTGTCTGTGTGTTTAATTTACCAATTTCCTCGTCATTTGTCATTCCTAGACTTCCAGCAGTAGGCACGTTTGTATCAGTTGCAGATGAGGAATTGGAGGTGGTTCTCTGCTGCTTGATTTTCTTTGCTGTCGTGGCGGATGTCCTTAATTTTTCTCTCCAAAATCATCTCTCTCGTTCTGTATTTAGGAACGTGCATGTGTTTTGAATATAAAATACTCTGTGCAATCTGTGATGGGGATTTCCCCTTGCCCTTTCGCTTTACAGCCATGTACCAATGTCATTAACTGCGTTCCAAGAAAAGGCTGCATCCAAATTTGATTATTCATTAAAAGCCAGGAGCAAGTTAATCTGTTAAAACTTTGTTTTAATGAAATACAGCGGAGCTGGGCGTTACGGGGAAGGGGCTTTTATGCGAGGTTGAGAACATTTTGCTGGTCTGTTGAGCAACGTGCTGAAAAAGCTAAAAAAAAATAAAAGCTTTGTTCAGTGTGTTAAAGATCCTGGTGTTATTGGAAGGTTGAACATGTATATGAATTATGTACTTGGATGGGAGTGTCTATAAATAATTCCTAAAGACAGGATACGGAGATGATGTAACTGGGTTTTGAAAGTGTTTGCTGAAGAGAGATGAATACTTTATTTTGCTGTGCCACCATTTGAAACCTGTCCTGCAACAGCTTTACCATTTATTTTCCCGACTGTAAATTCAGTAAATTAATCTGTATTAACAGAGTCCAGCATCTCTTAGGGTACTGCCTAATGTTCTTGAGGGTTTAAATTGTTGGCTTTGAAGACAACTAAATTAAAATGGCTGAGGACTGAATAGGTATTCTCTGACACATGCTCCATGAGGTTTTTTGAAAGTTTGAGCTCCTGTGGAATCTCATTATTTCTTTAATAATGGATTTTTGTACTCAAGTCTCTATATACCTGCGCTGTGGTTTTGAACCGTTCTTGACTTACTCATTACCTACTACAACCTCGCTACGGCCTTATTACAGTTACTTGCTTTTGGTTTATTCTTTCTGGGTGACTTATTTGTTGGGGGCAGCACACCAAGCTGTTCATTTCGACATTCTTTAGACCACTAGTGGGTTTCGTGTGACACACAATAGTCCATTTCTTTTCTTGCTGTAGGTGAGACTTCATATTCTGGCTTATGTGTGGAGATGCACCTTCTGGTGGTCACATGAGAAACGTTTCCAGTTTGGCAACGTTGAGGGGAGAGGGTCTATAGTTTTGTTCAGTGGATGTTGAATGTGTCTTCCTGGTGGGTTCGTTTGATCGTGAAGTTCCACTGGGAGCTGGACTGGTCTGTAGCAGTCGTTTTGGAGATCTGTGTGAAGACATCGCTGATCTTTGATTGCAGATCACACTGTAGCGCTTTTGAGCCTTTATGGTCAAAAATAAGAGAGGGATAGTGATGAAGGCATCTGAAATGTAGGGTGTGGTAGCTCAGTCTCAGTCGTAGAGCATGGGCTGGGCAAGTTTTAGATCAGCACGATTTCCTAGCACCTACAGAGTGATGGAAAGTTCAGCTGTAGCTGTGTGCGCAATTCCAGTCGTCCGTCGGACGAAGGAAAATAAAAAGATACACAGACATGAGTCTAGAAGAAACAAACATGCAGACTAGCCTGGATTTGTTTTGCATGTGGTGTAACCCATAAGTACATCAAAACCAGGGAGTGTCTTGCTGCTTTGGGTCTCTTTTTGACCGTCAGCATCCTTGTGTTTCATGTCCACACACACGTACAAGTATGTCAACGGCTGTGGCGTTGGTGCAGCTTGGAGGGAGAGGGTGGAGTTGTTGACTGGTTTCACCAGCTGATTTTGCGTAGGTGGATGTTGGGCTAGATTTAATCTAATAAAGCTTTTCTCTCTCCCATTTTCTTGTTTTAAATCTGTAAGAGGAGAGTTGAGATCTCATAGGAAGACTAAGGCAAATAAACTAAAGGTGGTGATGACATCAAGAGCTCGTCAATCCCCCTCTTTGGAAACTCTTATTCCAAAGGGACTCTTTGGGTCGTGGGCACATATCTGCAGCAGTATTGGTTGTAGCAGAAGGTCTTACCACCCCTTAGCTGTTTTCTCACAACCACCTTGGCAGGTTAAAAAAGTCATCAGAGGTGAACGTGTACCTGTCTTGCCATCAATCCGTGCCAAATTCCAGCGGTTTAGTTAAAGCTGCCAGCGCAGGTGGGATTTACGCTGCCTCCAGACTTGGCCAAGAGGTGGATGTGCTTCATTTGGGTGACTCTGTGAGTGTAATAATCTGGAAAAGACAACTTTGGGTGCTAAAAGGCCACTACTTTTCAGTAAAAGCACCAATGTAAAGGCCTAATGTGTTTTCTCTTTCACACGTGGACTCAACGTATTTGATTGATTAGGCCTTTAATTCATGAATGTGTCTTCTGAGAAATGACCTGAATCTTTCCAGAATTATAAATAATAGCTGGAATGTTTTGAAGTTTCGTGGAAGTTTGAATACAAAAAAAAGAAAATATTTGTTCTAGCTGTGAATTTCTGAGTGTGAAGGGAGAGCCTGGTGTAAGATACCAATTGATGTACTCGCTTGACGTGATGGAATCATGAACTACATTCACTTTGAAGATGTGTTTTGATTTTTGACAACATGAGTTACCCGAGTACATGTATTAGTTGGGCTAGTTGTGCTTGCTGGGCTCTTGCAAATTATTTCAGCGGTCTTTGCACACAGTTGTGTTGTGCAAGTTTGAGAATTTTCATCTTCAGTTTGATAATCATGAGAGTTCTAGGAAGTCATTTTGCTTAATTTTATTATACAAGAAGCTGGTAGCACTTACAGTTGAGATTGCTCAACGCTTTCCTTTAAGTGACTGTGTTTTCAGTTTCTCGTAGCTGCCAAACTTCAGCTCTTCCAACTGGAATATTCTGTCTGCCTCAAGCTGTTTTGGTTGGGGCTTTTTTTGAACACCTTTACAAAAATGCTTCAGCCATTTCCAAATGAAGCTAGGGGTGAGATGTGATTCTACTCAGATTGAAGTTGTATTTTTCTAAGCGTGCTGTTAAGAAACTCAAGAGCCATCATATTTTGGGTATAGTCCTCAAGCTGTTTTGGTTGGGGCTTTTTTTGAACACCTTTACAAAAATGCTTCAGCCATTTCCAAATGAAGCTAGGGGTGAGATGTGATTCTACTCAGATTGAAGTTGTATTTTTCTAAGCGTGCTGTTAAGAAACTCAAGAGCCATCATATTTTGGGTATAAAATACTGTGGGAATTACTTGTTTCAGGGCCGCTTGAGGAGAAAACCATCCATATTTTTCCAAGCCTTTGAAAAAAATCCATGTCTGTTTGCTCCATCTGGAGTATTTCGAGTTCAGCTGCTGCGTTCTCCGGAGTGGTGTGTGCTGAGCAGGCATGATCCCGCATCCCTGGGTCGGGAGGAGCTGAGTGAGGTGGTTCTTGTTGCTCCAGTCTGTTGTGCCACCAGACAGTAGAACCTGGAAGCAGTGTCTGTTCAGCTGTCTCCTAACTCTCAAATGCTTTGCAGCCCTAACTGTTCTTTCAATGTAGGTCTCTCCTGTGACAACCTGCATGTTTGCAGAAAAAAATCTCATGCTGGTGACGTGTTCCTTAGTGATAAATGATTCATACATAGCTGCCTGAAAACTGCACCTCCACCTCCCTTTATCAGGGCTGCCTCTGCTGCAGCTCATTTGCAAGTGTTTGCACTTTCCAGCCACCCACTATGGCTCATGGCATCCTCAGGTGGAATTTCCACCGCGAATTGTAGCAGCTGCCATTTCCAGGGCCTCATCTTTCTGGATTAAAGGATTAGAAAAGGAGCTTGCACCTATTTAGAGCAGCTGAGGGGCACTAAGCCCAACTACATGAAGCAAAGATTGAACTGAAATTTAATCAGAGCCACTCTGAAGCCAAACAGAAGAATGATTCTTTAAAAGTTTCCTACACAGAGAAAAGGGGCTCCTGCAGTGCAAAGCCAGTTTGTACCCAGAACTGCAAACGGTGATGGGATGCGTGGATTTAGAATCACAGAACGGTTTGGGTTGGAAGGGACCTCAAAGACCATCCAGTTCCAACCCCCCTGCCGTGGGCAGGGACACCCTCCACTACACCAGGTTGCCTTTATTTCTTAAAGAAAGTTAATACTCACTAATAAGTAATAAACTACTTGTGAAAGGCAACCTCTGCAAGGGGAAAAAAAAAAAAAAAAGATGACCAAAAAAATATAAATCTGTGTTTTAAGAGGTCCAGCGTGGCTCTGCGTGGCTGCTCGGGCACGGCAGGACGCGGTGGGGCTTGCGTCGTGCGTGGCAAAGGCAGTTTGCCTCCCTTTTGACTGAATAACTAAGAAAGTTTTACTTTGAGGAATTCATTAGTCTGTTAAGCAGCTGCCCTGTTGGAAATAAAAATCTCCTGGAAAGACTGGATTCTGTAATTCGTGGCAGTTTGGAGCCAGTCACGCGACCTGGCTGCATCCTGGCTGCAGAGATCTTCTGGGGTTTTATATAAACTGATTTTTATCTATACAAACAAGTAGGTTCTGGGGAATGAAGTGAAAACAGAGGTTAAATTACATTTTTGATACAAGGTGTAGCCTGTGCAGAATGACAGATGATGAACCCATACAGCAGGTTCCACACCTATGACCTGAGTTTGGGGGCACAGGGGACACAGTGGTGCTTTGTCCTGCTAAGCAGGCTTGAAATATTGGTAATTCTGCAACGGTAGACCTTAAAAACGTAAGTTTATATTTTGGATAAATTTAAGGTGCTGTTCTGTAACAACTTCAACTGTTGTTTTTTGGTTTTTTTTCCTCTTTCTCTCCTACAGATCACACATCCGTGGGCGGGCTGGGAGACAGTTTTTATGAATATTTATTGAAAGCCTGGCTTATGTCAGACAAGATGGACACAGAGGCAAGGAAAATGTACGACGATGCAATTGAGGTGATTATAATTCATTGAGTTTTCCAATACAGTGGAACTTAAAAAACATCTTTAATAACTTTTTTTTTAAAAAAAAAAAAAACAAAAAAACAAAAACCACAGGACTTGTTTTGATTATGTAAGTTTTAAGAAATCAAGTGATGAATAATACTAGCTTTCACTCTGAGTAGTTTTAAAAGTATTATTGTGGAATACATCTGATGCAGATTATCGTGCTAAAAATAATCAGCTTGTCCAAAATGGTACAACGTAAAAGCCCAAGCGATAGTTTGAGAGATCCACCAGCCCTAAGATGTGTGCAGAACCACCAGGTCACTTCTACTCAGTGTTCAGAACCGTTTTTGGAGTTGAAGTCCTGAATTGTTTCATTCTTTAAATTATTTCCTGAAACATTTAGATGTTATATTCCGTATTTATCTCGTGAGACATGGTCCATACCTGTTCCTCGCTCCGTGGTGTGGTCTGGCTCCCTCTGAGATGGAGCAGTGCTGCGGGATGGGGTGATGACATTTGGAAATGCCATCAACAGGAGCTTCCGAAGCCGACTTCTGGTGTGGTCTGCTCAGGCAAACCGCCTGGTCTCGTAGTTCTCAAAATTCACGTGTTAGAAGATACTTAATGAAAGTTCTGATCCAAAATTGCTTTGAAGCTGTAATATGTCTTATTCCTGACCTGAATTTGATTAGATTTGGCTTTCAGCTACTTGAACTTTTTCTTCCCCTATGTGGTTTTCAAGAGTTATCTGCATCACGTAGCTGGTTGCTACCAAAGGTGTGGTGGGTGTTCTCTTCTGAAGGAGAAACACATCATTTTCTTTAGTCTCTCAGTATAAAACAAGCTTTGAATCGTTTCTTAAGCTTTTTTCTAAGTACTTTCCAGTGTCTTCAGTATGGAGACAAGAATGTAACGGTCGTTCTAATATGTCATTGCCCAGTTTCTTCCCAGTACTCTCTTCATCCAGCCAAGAGCTGTGATCGCGCTCTTAACCTTTACCTCGCACTGTCATCCACTTTCCAGTTGGTTTTACTCCAAAGTTGGTTACAGTCCTTTTGATTTACTGTTTTCCTACTACTGTGATTTACATTCCCGATTCCTTGACGTGTGACCTTGTACTTATCTCTATTACAACACCAATTGTTCAGGCAAAACCCATTTTGTCACCTATTCTGAATGATTTTTACAGGGCTGATGTTTCCTTTATCACTATCTATAGCTCCATCAATTTTTGGGTCGTCAGCAAATATTTTTTTTGGCGTTTTTTTCTTGCAGATCATTGGTAGAAACGCTGCCTGGCGTTGAATTAAAGTATCTTTGCAGAATCTTCATGGCACGAGGATTTCTCACAATTTTTTATTTTATTGGATCCATTCTAACAAGCCAACTTTTAATCCACCTCATACGTGCTGCTTTGAAATCCTTTAGGACTGATACTTTGTACAATACCAAGGAAATTCCTGAAATTCCTAATATTCTTCATATCACCATGCACTTGTCAATCAAACATTTATTTCTGAAACCATATAATTCATTTTATATGGTTGTTCTATTAACCTTTCAAAATACTGTTAAAGCATCGGTTCTTTCCCAGTCCTTTTGAACTTCCTTCACTTTCCAGGGTTTCTTAACGTCGACATTAGTAGTTCAAAATGTTAGTTGAATGCTTTTAGTAGTCTAAAATACAGTTTGTTGGATCCTGTGGGTGTAAAAATATTTTGCAGTTGATATGTAACATCCATTTTGGTTACTGTTGAAATATTTTATTGTGATTCCCCCCAAACTTTCCCTGTCATCCTCTTGGCTGTAAGCCCAGCCTTGCAAACATTTTGTACGGGCAAATCTCTCTCTCTGAATGGAGACACAACAAAGCAAGTTTGGGACCAGATGAAAACCCACTGTGGACAGGAGAGAGAGCGAAAGCTGAGCCCCTCTTGCTTCGTGACCATCCATGTTTGGATGAGCATCCATGGTTTCCTCTTCGGACTTCCTGATCTACACGTTGTGGAACATCCTTCTGGTTCAGGGTTTGTGTTCATCCCACTTGACATTGAAAGATGTGTGCAAAGAGCCAGCGAGTAGGATTTGCTTTACATCATTGCCTTTTGAATTTTTGTTTAAAATCTTGAAATATTTTTAAGAGCCCGGTCCCTTACCACTCTTTGTTGTTGCCCATAACGCGTCTTCCTCCATAGCCGACAGTTTTTACTCTGTTTTTCAAAATTCAGAGCAAAAGCTCTTTACGTTGCTTATACAAGCAGAAGGGGAAGTGTGTAAAATACATTCTTCCCACTCGTAGCACAGAGTTGGAAACGTTCTCAGCACCCACCAGTCTAAAAGAAAGTGTCTGTCCAGCAACAATTCACTCCCTTAACTTGCTACAGCGAGGAGAGCGGCAGACAGACAACCAGCCTTTCTTGTACCAGTACTTTGGGAACACATGAGGCTTTGATGGTTAACCACATCAGGCTCCCTGGCAGCAGGAGCCACGATATCGTGCCCATCCTCAACATGAATTTGCGTGGCCATTAGCCACTCCGGCAGCTCTCAGAGACTTACTGGTTCCTTCTCTGTTGGTTCTTTCTGCGTTCTTCTCGCCGGGTCCTGCCGTAAGCACGAAACGGATGTGTGGGTGGTGCTAGCAAAGAAGTGAACCCACCAGGAACGCAGGCCAGCCCTTCTCTTTCATTGCCTTCAGAAAGCACAGGCTCGACAGGGGACAGCGGAGAAATTTCGTCATCCAAATGATGGCTCAGTCCACAGGAGCAGGGCCCTGCTGATGACAATGCAGTCTTCTCCCTGCAGTCCACTGCGCTGGCTTTTAGCCAGTACGTTCACCTTGGTCGTATGGGGACCGTCAGATCTTCACTGGGCACGTGGCTGAGGTGTGGGTTCACATCACTACGACCGTTCGGAAAAGCTGCCGCGAGCACCGCGGCATCTCGGGTCAGGAACATATTCAGCAAACCATACAGAAACACAACTATTTCACATTACTCTTCATATTATCATCTTCCCCATTTGAGGCTCCTGACGCTACAAATTCGAACTTTTCTAACTCTAATTTCAATAGTTTTGGTTTCAGAAAAGTTTTTTATTGAAGAAAACTTGGGAAGGCTGTTGGATGCTATTTCTGTACCTGGACAGAGGGCTCCCGCGTTACAGATATCACTGGGTTCCATACAGCTGCTTTCACAGTCCTGTACCACTTAAGCATCAGCAAAACAGCAACAAAAAAAAGTTAACCTGAAACCTGAAATACCTACTACAGTCACAGAAGAGCTTGAAGCTTTTCGTTTGTCCGTTTTGTTGAAAACAAGACAATCTCACTTCTTTTATTTAGAGGGAAAAGTTCTTTCACTGTCTGCTTTTAAACTTGCATTACAACTTGCACGCTGGTTAATCACCAGAAAAGTAATGGAGAAGGGCAGTAATTCACTTCTGTAATGCATCTTGTGGATGACATGGAGAGTAGTAAATGCCTTTTTAATGGCACTTTAATCCTTCAACTCTAATCAGCCTCTGGAGTGCTCTGACCAGTCACACATCAGGTGCTTTGAAGGAAGCTGTGAACCCATCAGATGGTTACGTGTGGAAGTACAAAAGAGGTTTCTGGAAAGAAGATAGGAATAATTTCTCCATGGTAAAAATGATAATTATCTTTGTTATTGTAGGACTCAAACTGTTAACGAGATTCTAGTTACAAGAAAAACTGTCTAATGCTAAAGGTAGTAAGTACTGCAGTAGCTTCGTGGGGATTGTGAACCTCTCTCAAAAGAAGCTGGAGTAAACGTGTTGCTGCGTGTAGTTTACAAACTTTGGAAAGTTAGGTCAGCTATTCTCCTTCCTACTACCAGAAGAATACCATTTAGAAATTACAAGCAACAACATATATCGGTGCAAACGTGCAAAGAAAAAGCAGCAGTTGCCTCACCTATGAAATAATAATGTTCTTTGTGAACAGCTGCTCTAACCCTCACCCATCCTTTGACCATGTGCAACCAGAAAGCTGCTATGGAGAAGCAGCAAGAAGGTGGCTGGAGCATTCCTGTTACTTCCTAGTAAAGGCTGAAGGAGATTACAGGTGCTGCCCTTACGTATCCTTACCCCAAAAGGGTCCAGGATGTGTTTTCTGAGTATGCACAGACTGTACAGCAGAACAAATAGGTACTGCTCAGAGTTAACGGGCAGACAAACCTTGTTTGAGCCATAAAACGTGTGGTGAGTACTCAGCTGAAAGTGCAGTGTTATCTATGTTGTGGTTTTCCTCATCTCATTAGCATCGTTTAGCAGTTAGGGTATTTTTGTGTGTGTGCATTGAAATTACATTTTAACAGCTATTTGTTTCTGTAGTGCTCAAAGTTAATTTGGCAGAAGAAGAAAATTCTTTGTAATTTGAAAACGGTGTTTTATTCTTTGAAGAAGAGTTAGTATGTAAAACTTGCCTGTGAAACAGTTTTTGAAAGTTCTCTTGATCTTCTTGTAGGCCATAGAAAAACATCTCATCAGAAAGTCCAATGGAGGACTGACCTTCATTGGGGAGTGGAAGAATGGGCACCTTGAAAGAAAGATGGGCCATTTGACCTGTTTTGCAGGGGGAATGTTTGCCCTTGGAGCAGACGGTTCCAGAGATGATAAAGCTGGACATTATTTGCAGCTTGGAGCTGAAATCGCACACACGTGTCACGAGTCGTATGACAGGACAAGTAAGATGCATCACTCCTCTGGTTATTTCAGTAGCTGAAATACAGAAATTGTTGTAATTATTAAAATTTGTTATGCACCTATGCCTTGTCTAACATGCACTGGTTTTGTATCAGTATAATTTTTTTTTAACATCCATGTATTTAATCCTGATCTACATGATGGTGAGTAGATGTAAAACCAGAGTTGATGTGTTTCCTTCCTGCAGGTTTATCCCTGTCCTTGGATCAGTCACCTCGGGTGGGCTATGTGGGCGCAGGGAGGAAGGAGCACGTGTGAACTCTTGTCCTCCCACATACACAGAGCAGTTCTTAATTTCATATGTACTCTTCTTACATGTATGTAGGGTGAAAAATCTCTAAATAAACTTTTTACTGTTTTTTAGTAGTAGTACATTCTGGATCATAGAATCATAGAATGGTTAGGGCTGGAAGGGACCTTCAAAGGTCATCTAGTCCAACCCCCCTGCAAGGAACAGGGACATCTCCAACTAGATCAGGTTGCTCAGGGCCTCGTCCAACCTGGCCTTGAACGTCTCCAGGGATGGAGCATAAGTACAATTAAACTAGAGAGGACAAAGATTTGTACGCAGATAATGAGATGGCCAAAGACCTGACTAGCAGGAGGCAGTGTCAGGTTTTTATCTTACAGTGGGAAGAGAGGTTGGCCTGCTGAGAGTAGGAGAAGAATGCCCAAGAAAAGAATAAATTTATTGTCATTTCAAGGGATAAACACCGAAAAGAAGTAGGGTTATTTATAGACATAAACAACACAGTTCTACCAGGAGCAAGATTTGTAAGCTCGCCGTGAATAAATGGAGGTTGGAAATTGGAAATGGCTTTGTGTAGCCATTGGAGAAATGACCTGCTGAAGTAACTTCCTAGTAGAAGTAACGGTAACAAGAACTCAAAAGCAGTTTTAAGATGAGAATTGATGTATTCGTTCACAGGATTATGTAGTATCATTGCACAGTTGCCTGTGATTTTAAAGAATTCAGTCTGATGGTCATAAATGATACTTTTACCTGGGTAGCAACAGCATTAAAAAAAAAAAAAGGAGAAAGAAATATGAGGATGCTTAAAGAAAAGGTAGGACGTAATAACTATTGTTGCATTCTGAGAAATTGAACATTGAAATTAAACATTTATATGTTTAATTTGAGACTTAAAAATAAGCAATGCCACGTTTACGGTTGTTTGTGCAGCAGTCCTAATTTTATTCCCTCAGATGTTTATTCTACACCCTAAATAAGTCAAAAGACAGAAGGATAAAAGTTTTGGTTACGTATTTAATGACTGTGTAAGAACACACACACGAAGGAAACAGACTGAAAGTTGTGCAGACAGCTGTAAATTTGCACTGCCCTAGTTTTCTGTTGTTCAGTCCTGCAATCTGAGTAACGTGGATTTTTTTTTTTTCCTTTGCCTGGCTGATTTTTCAAAGAAAATTAACATCTCTTACGTGCAAAGCGTCAGCTTCTTAATTATGCCTTAGCAGCAGGATTTGAGACATAATGGTGCACTTGAACGACAGAAGTAGCTGGTTGCAGAAAAAAGACTCTTTCAGAGGGCAGACGTTCATCCTGGTTGGACTGTGATGGATCCATGTTTCAGTGGGCAGAGGGGAGAGCCTGATCGATCTCTCGCCTGTTGAGCTGAGAGAACTCTTGCCCCATGGATGGAGAGCAGCCCTGAGGAGAAGGACTTGGGAGTGCTGGTGGATGAGAAGCTCAACATGAGCCAGTACCAGCCCAGAAAGCCACCCGTGTCCTGGGCTGCACCCAGAGCAGCGTGGGCAGCAGGGCGAGGGAGGGGATTCTGCCCCTCTGCTCTGCTCTCCTGAGACCCCACCTGGAATACTGCGTTCAGCTCTGGGGTCCCCAACACAAGAAGGACATGGAGCTGCTAGAGCGGGGCCAGAGGAGGCCACAAAGATGATCCGAGGGCTGGAGCACCTCTGCTATGGAGACAGGCTGAGAGAGTTGGGGCTGTTCAGCCTGGAGAAGAGAAGGCTCCGGGGAGACCTTCCAGCACCTTCCAGTACCTAAAGGGGCTACAGAAAAGCTGCAGAGGGGCTTTGGACAAGGGCATGTAGTGACAGGACACGGGGCAATGGCTTTAAACTGAAAGAGGGGAGATTTTGATGGGATCTAAGGAAGAAATTCTTCCCTCTGAGGGTGGTGAGGCACTGGGACAGGTTGCCCAGAGAAGCTGTAGCTGCCCCATCCCTGGCAGTGTTCCAGGCCAGGTTGGATGAGGCTTTGGGCAACCTGGTGTAGTGGAGGGTGTCCCTGCCCATGGCAGGGGGGTTGGAACTGGATGATCTTTGAGGTCCCTTCCAACCCAACCCATTCTGTGATTCCATGATTTGGTGTCCCCGGAGGAGACAGCAAGGCGCTGAGGCTGTGCGCTGAGGATAGAGCGCTCTTTTCGGAAAACCCAACCAGAGCTGTCCTTTCCTTTCTTTTCCTGGGATTGCTCGTAATAAACTGCAGTATATGCCTGGTTTTATAATAATTTTAGTATAAAAATACTGCTTTATGAAGCAACCCAAATTTCCGTAAGGGCTGGGCCTGAGGAAGAAAAATAGTGTCAAGGTCCAGTCTCAGCAAAATGGAAGCAGAATTTCACAGAACAGTTGTGCTTCTGGAAAAGAAACGCATTATATTCCTAACTGGCAACAACCTGTTGCACATATTGCAGGTATGAAAGTCTGTTTTAAAAAAAAAAAATAAATAAAGAGTTTGATGCTATAGAAAACTTCAGGCAAAGACCATCAACTGTAAACCTAACAGGGCCAAGTCCACCACTGAACCACATCCCTCAGCACCACATCTTTTAAATCCCTCCAGGGATGGTGACTCAGCCACTTCTCTGGGCAGCCTGTTCCAGTGCTTGACAACCCTTTTGGTGAAGAAATTTTTCCTGATACCCGATCTAAACCTCCCCTGGTACAAGTTGAGGCCATTTCCTCTTGTCCTGTCACTCCTTACTTAGAAGAAGAGAGTGACCCCTCCTCACTACGATCTCCTTTCAGGTAGTTGTATGGAGCAACAAGGTCTTCTCTGAGCTTCCTTCTCTCCAGGCTGAACCACCCCCAGCTCCCTCAGCTGCTCCCCATAACACGTGTGCTCCAGCCCCTTCCCCAGCTCCGTTGCCCTTTGGACACGCTCCAGCACCTCCATGTCTTTCTGCAGCGAGGGGCCCAACACTGAACACGGCGTTGGAGGTGCAGCCCCACCAGTGCTGAGGAGGCAATCCCTGCCCCAGTCCCACTGGCCACACCACTACTGGTGCAGATTGGCAGCGTGAGTGGATTGACAGCGCGCGGTGTTCCGAGTGAAATTAGCCGATAAGGTGTCCTCGGGATGCGAGTGCAGCATCTGCTGGGTTTCTACTCGTGGCAGTTCCGATGAGGAGTAAGCCAGATGATGAAGGGTTCAGCCAACACGCCGTCAGGGTGTGAGTAGATGTTGTCTCTGTCTCAAGACTCCGTAAGCAGCTCAACAGGCAAAGTTGAGAAGAAGAATGACTTGTTTTCATGAGAAGTGGGAAATAATAATAATGTAGGTTGATGGAATGGCTCAGAGTCTCCATCAAAAGTGTCTTGAAGGGTCTGTTCCTCAAATTTCAGGTGAGTTAGAGCCTAGAAAGTATTGTTACTGTTATAAATCCTTTCTTACCTTCCCAAAATTTGTTGCTAGGCAGACTGTAGTCTTAAAGGAACAGACAAAAAAATTAAGCAATGTTTTCCAAATTATTTCTAAAATGAGGTATATGAATATTTATGTAGAAGTCTGAGGGTTTTCCCTTGTTTCAGCAGTGCTAAATGCAGCTCTTTGCAGTCAAGTGTAAATCAGTTAAAATCTCTTTTGAAATGGTACTGGTTGAGCTTTGCAGCTTTGCACTCTGACGTGAAATTGTTTTTCATCTGCTGCCTCTGACGAGAAATGTGGCCTGTCAGCCCCATTAGTACTGAAATAGCTGGACTGAAGCGTGACCTGGCGTTGTGAAATGTCCTCAGGTGGTTCCTTGGTTAGAAGAATGCTCCCCCGAGAGGTGCTGTGTTCGTAGTAGCTTCTTGACTTTAGCCAGCTATTGGCAGAAGTGCTGTGATTAATTTACGTCCTTGGTTCCAGATGGAAATCCAGGGGGATTGTCACAATCCACAGGGATCACCCACCCTTTGAGTGGTACCAATTCTTGGAGTGCCCAGTAACGTTAGAAGTAGATATGAGTAAATAATTAAAGATTGAGTGCACCAGCAGGCTACAAAGCAAGAGAAGGTGTCACAGCTTCTGTAGGTGATGCATCATCAGAACTGCCTGAAATCCAACTTCTTTGGTCAATAAGAGTAACAAACAGCTGCCACGGTTGACCTGAGATCCAAAAGGCTTTTTCAAATTTCTCCTCTAAGGCCTTTTAAGGGTATTAAGCAGCTGTAGCATAAGCAGCAAGTACTTGCATGGAGAAAAAAAAGGTGATAGTGTAACAAATAGGGTTGGGGTCAACACTTCTTGCAGTGGATGAATGGTGGTTAACCAGTGGTGCTCTGATACATGTTTATACATAGATAATATGTGTGTAAATGTATATGATATTTACATTTAATATTTTTATATGCGTGTATAAGTAAAACATACCTACACATATATAAATGATCATCAAAAAGGGCAGGAATAGTAAGGTAAGTGTGCTGACAATAATAGCTAAAAAAAAAAAAGGCATTCAGGATAGCAAGGATGAAAGAAAGCTGAAAAATTGCACGAGGACCTTATGAGGTTGAGTAATTGCACAGTAAATTCCTAAATTCAATTCAGCGTAGTTAAATGTAAAGTGAGGCACCTATGAAAAAATGATTCCTAACCTCACAGATGAAATAATGAGCCCTTACCTGACCATCACAGCTCAGGAGCTTGCTCTAGAGATGATGAAAATGTCAGCTTGGTAGCAGTCAGGAAAAACAAAGTGGGGAAAAAATGAAACAGAAAATGCCGTTACGTCACCGTGTGAATCTTGTCCGCGCTCGGTGCGGTGTTGAGGCTGGTCCTCACGTCTCGAAAGGGATAGGGCAGAACTGGAAGGGTGGCAGAGAAAGGCTGGAAGGAAAACTGAAGGTGTGGAGCAGTTGTCCTTCAAGGAACAAGTGGAGCAGGGTGGCAGAAGGATGGTTGAGGCAGGATACAACAGGTTTGCAAAATCGGAGAGAGCGGAATCAGTCGCTCGCCCTCGTCTCCGAGAGGGGCTGTGGAATGAGTGTGGTGGGAACAAAGCTGAAAATGGAAAAGGAAGAAAATAAGCCTTCTACACCAGAGATGCTAGAGATGTGGAACTCCTTAGCAGAGGTTGTTTTGGATGCTTGAGGCTTCCGTAGGGTTAGGAAACACCAAATAAGCACTTGGGGAATAAATCTATTAAGGATTACTGACCGTGTTAAAAAAGTACGTCTGGTTTGGGAGAAGCCTTGAGCTCAAAGAAAATTGGACACTGGTAGAGAAGCTGGAACAAGATATCGTACGTACTTGGCCTGTTCTTCCTCTTCCCCACCCGTGTCTGATGTTGGCCACTGTTGGAGACATGACGCTGGACCAGACAAGCTTTCATCTGGTGCAGTATGGCCAATCTTATCTTCTTAGTTTTGGATAGCTAGAACTCTGTATCTAATCTCATTGATTTTGCAGTAAAATTTGTGAATTTTTTTTTTTTAACTGAAGCAGGTAAAATGCCCCATTTTGGAAGAACCATCATCAACATCTCTTGATGGAGTTTTCTTTACGATGCTTGAGGCTGAAGCAGAGTGTGGTGCTTTTTTCTTTTGGCATCCAGAGCCATACTCCCTTAAAAAAAAAAAAGATTAAAGAACTTTTTTGGGGAGATTTTCTGCTGGGGCACACACTGGGAGGTGCTTATATTTTTTAATTGTAGTATTCTAAGGTTCCCCTTTCAGACTATGAGGCCATGGTTAACGTGAGCCTCTAGCTCGTAGGAATTGCAGGATTCATCACTTTGATATGTTTTAAAGTTCTAATGGAGCTTTAAAGTTCAACACCTTAAAAATTCTCTGCCAAAGCAAGGGGTGGGGTGCAGATGTAGAAGAGAGTGCATTGTTTATTTCAAATCTGAGGAATAATGTGTAGCTGTAGAATAAAAAAATATATGTAATTACACCTTCGTGTTATAGACAGTTTTTCTACAGGTACCTCCTTTTTATATGAATATTCTTCCAGATGCTGGCACATTTCAGCTTCCTCTAAGGGCTGAAATAGTGAATCTCTTCGTTCAGGGATTTATTTCCAAGTGTGGCCGAGTTTTCCTTGCCTAGTTGTAAACCCTCCACTTGAGGATCACGTGGTGAAGCGCATCAGCCTGGCAGCACTTCCCTAAACCAAGAGAGTTTGGGTAAAGATGCAGGTTATTTGAGGTGGTGGTACCTGGTTTTGTTCCAAGATCTTTTCCTGCCGTGCTGGGTGAGATCAAGAGACATCAAAAGCTCTACTGACATTCCCCCCCCGCCCCCTTTTTTTTTTTTTTGGGGTTGTAAAGTACTGATGTCAGTCGCTTTAATTTTACCCTTTAATTGAATGTGTCAGTGTGTTTATGTCCTTAGAGTTTCATTACTTTTCAAAAGGATTACTGTACTGCTGTCAAGATACGTAGTTTTCTCACAGAAATTGGCTAAATTATTCGTAAGAAAAATTATAGGCCTCAACAATAGGAAATATTTATGAAACTGCTTAAAGACAAGCTAGTTTCTGCTTTTCTCACACCCTTGGGATATAGCAGACTCCTATCCCACCTTTCCTGCAAAGATTGGTAAGAAATCAATTTTTTCTTTCTTTTTAATTTCCCCCCTTTTCTCTGCAGCATTAAAGCTGGGTCCAGAAGCATTCAAGTTCGATGGTGGCGTCGAGGCGGTGGCAGTGCGACAGAATGAGAAGTATTACATCCTCAGGCCAGAAGTGATTGAGACCTACTGGTACATGTGGAGATTCACCCACGATCCCAAGTACAGGCAGTGGGGCTGGGAGGCAACGCAGGTAACTGTTAATTATCTGTCAGACTTTTAATTCTGTGTATTTTCTTTTGGTAGCCACTTTATCATAGAACCATAC